CTTTTTCATCACTAAATAAACCTTTTAAATCTGCCAAATTTCTAGAGACTTGCATGCATAAAATTAAATATAAAGATCTGGTATGTTCCTTCCTCCAACCCAAAATTAAACGCTTAAGTTTTTATATGTATATAAGGAGAGTGGATAGATAAAGGGCATAACATACAAACGATCATCTTTTAATAACAACAATCACTTGTAACATTTCATTTTATTTTTCTAGCAACAAACAAAAGTAAGATCAAATAAAACACGAGCAAACAAAAGGAAAAAAGATAGAAAAATCAAAAGGAAAAAGAACGTTAATTATTAGGGAGTTTTAAGTATTCAATGAGTTGTTAGATCTCTTATTCACCTTTCAGATAACATAAAAAAATATTAGAAAACACTTGGGATTTTTGAGTAAGCATTAGAGAATGTACTTTCAAAAAGAATATGAAACAAAAGATGAAGAATTAGTATTCTAAAACTATACTTTGTGAGTGGATATAAGACTTTTTTTGTTTCTATTCAATATAAAGGACAACAAATCTATCACAAACCAATTAATGAACAAATCTGTTAAGCTTCTAATAGCAATTGCTACTATGTTTATGGCGTACAACCTGAATATACTTAGTGAATCCGCCAAGACCAGCAGTTGGTAAAGAAGCAGATCATGGAGTAATCTTGTATACTATACTACTTTTTTTCTTCATAAACAACTCCTTACAATATCACATCAGGAGATATAAAGAAGATTTAGTTTATACCTCTCATTTATGCTATGTAGAACTTTGACACATCTTTAGTCTTCCATTCAGCTACATCATTTACAAAATAATATAATATTACTGAATTTTCTCTCATGGTTAAAAATTTTCAATTTAAAATTAAAGGAAGCTCACTTTATCCCCTATACTAGTGCAATTTAGCTAAAGCTTACAAATACTACTCTTAGCCACCAATAGAATACTATTAAACTAGAGCTTTTGAATAACACTATTATCCACCAATGTATCGGATAGCTGATTATCGTTGTGATCAGTTATGGTAAATGTTTTTTGGAATTTGGTCGAGCATGTGTTGTAGATTACCCTCAATACTAACCCCAAATATCCTCAAATGTACTAACCCGATATCATAGAAGAGACATAAATAAAAACATAGAGACTTGGGAAACTTGTGACATCCCCTATTTTTCAGAACCAAATAAAACTTTTTTTGTACACTTTAAAATACCATGATGTCTTTGTTGCGGAAAATCTAGTTTAATAAAATATTTTGAGATAACAATATTGTTTTAAAATATCAAAACACTAAGGATGTCATGATTAATACCCAACATATGTTACAACATAAAGACATAAGGTCTTGAATACTATTGCATGTTTGTCTCTTATTTCACTAAACATCATATTCAAACTCCAACAATCTTCGTATCACTACCTATGATGCATATAAATTGAGTGAGTCGGGTTGGGAAACCTGGTGAGACACATAGGTTTTCAATCTCATAATATTTATAACGATAAATATTCATATATAATATTCCTGCAAAACAAACGTTATATACCAGACAATATAGATAAATAATCCAACGTAGATATCTATAAGACAATCTCTCTTTCGAAAAAAAAGGACAATCTACCCATAAATATCCAACCCAATTGATTCTCACAAATTATAATTCAACGATCATCTGGAAGAATCACCTTACCTGATGAATATTTTGAGCAACTGATTGACTACATAGTTAGGGGATTCATTGGTCAGTGTAAGTCATTTAAATGCAGTCAATGTTTAGAGTGTTTGATAAATATGACATTCCATTTTATCTACGTCTGTGAGTTATAAGCCCATAGCAAGATAATTCACAAGACCATCTGGAATAATCAAGTGTTGTCATATTACTCTGATAGTTGACCCATACATACCTACCGGTTATCCGATACAGACCCATCATTTCTGGTTATCTAGAAAGAGGAAAACTACTACATTCCGCTTAATCTCACACATTACCCTGAATGAGACTATTCAGTTATTTAACTTACTTCGGACTAAACATCCTTTACAAGCCTTGGTATATAACTAAACAAGTTTACAATATAAGTAATCGACTTCCGATACAATTTCATTTTCATGCAATACTATCATTTTACAAGATATACATTTAGCACAAAGTACAAACATTAAGCTTTTAATATATATTCAATCTTTTAAAGTAACAAATACTTTGAAAAATTGTAACTTTCGCATACGAGCTTCGTTTTCAACGTTATTTATATCCACAGATTCTTATCAACGAGTACTACAACTTTCATTTAGATTTCATCGGCTAATTCACATTCTATTTTCACTTCACAGTTTGTAAAGATTACACCGTGAAAGACTTTGTGAAATTCATAACTTCTTCATATTAGTTATGTTTCCGACGTTCTTTATACCTACAGATTCATATTACGAGGACATTGACTCTCTTTTAAATAATTTTGGCTAACAAGTAACTGATGTTCATTTAATATATTTATGACACACACTGATGTACTGTGTTGAACACGGAACTTCGAAAAACTATAACTTCTTCATATGATGTTAGATTTTGGCATTCTTTATACTCACGGGATTGTAATTACGACTACTATAACTTCCATCAAACTTATTTATCCTAAATAATATTCAATTTATAATTATTATTTATTACTTTTCGTTACGTTTATAACTCTATTTTATACAAATGTTATATCAACATAATATTTATTCGTATAACAAATACACAGTAATATTATACAAATAACATTTTGTAAGCACGTAACATGTAAGAAAATTTCTTATTTATTTATTTATTTATTTATAATACAATTTACATTAATTTACTGACGTAAATGAGGATGTCCAATGAAAAATACAAGCGTCGTTACATACTTTAACCTATAAGATAGCACCTCCTTTGAGTCTAATCTTGAACTTTCACCAGCTATATCAAAACCACACAAGCCAAGAAGTGAGGTAAAACCTTAATACATACATAAACAAATAGTAGTTAAAGTTAGGAAAGTCATACATATCGCACCTGACATAAATCAATGAATGAATAATCAGTAATGAAACCAACCATCTTGTTTAGGTTGTTCTTCCGACCAAAAATATTCTTGTGGGCACTAGACAGCAATGTCGACCAATAGTCTTTGGGTTTTTGTTGTTTTTCCCAGCACCGTTCTTTCCAATCAAGACTAATGCTCTCTTTTTTGTTTCGATTTGTGTGTTTGGATCAATCCTCAATGACTGTAAACTAACTAATACCCCCTTAAAAAAATTTAAAGCCCTAAGAAACCTTAGAATGTTCTATATCATCGAAAGGGGTAATGGAACCAAGCTACTAAATGGAGAGATAATTTGTTGGGTCCACATAGTATCCAACAACTCACATAGAGAGTAAACCCTAGAACTGACTATGTAAAAGAAGAGAAATGGAATGAAGAGAAATCTGCGAATCAAACAAAATTAGACTGAAATTTAAACAAACTTAACTTTCAACTTAAAACTCAAAAGTAAAAAAGAAAGAAGAGACGCAGGTTACCTTGGAGAGGTTAGAGTTTTTGTAGGGTAGAAGGGTAGAAGAAACATGACATATACAACAGATCCATAAAAAATCGATGATATCACAAAGTATAATTCAATCACCATTACCTTGAAAGTGGGTTTAGGGTTCATAGATCTTTACGATTTGAAATTTTAGTGCTGAAACGGAAGATAAACTTTGCGACTTCGGGTGTAGGGTTTTCCAAATGTGTATTTGAGGTTTCAAAGGAGCGGCATGGCAAAATTAGGGGAGACAAAGTCGTGAACGGTGGATAACCGAGGAATACAAGGAGCTCACAATGGGTGGGAAAACAAAATTTTAGAGACACTAAGAGGGTGTTTGGATAAATTAGCTTATAACTTATTAACTTATAGCTTATTAGCTTATAGCGGTGAGAGAAAACAACTTTTGTAAAAGTGTTTGGATTAGAAATAAACAATATACTATAAGCAAGGGGGGATGCTTATTAAAATTAACTTATTTAGCTTATCCCCACCACAATAAGCTGATTTTTAGTGTTTCCTATCCAAACACTTAAACTTAGCTTATAGCAGTAGGGATAAACAATAAGCTATAAGCATCCTCTTCTTTCCTTATCCAAACACCCTATAAGAGTTTAAAGGAGCAAGGGGCATATTAGACATTTCATTTTGAAACTTGGGTTGAGGAAATGTCACGTGACACAAATTTGATTCTTTTATTAGATATGGAATGGAGATGGAGATTTGTAAAATATTTTAGGATCGAATCAAAGAGTTTGCTTTTTTTGGACCTCATTTCCAAGAATTATAGTAACACCACTGATATCGAATATCGGTCTTAGGGGGTGGTTACTCTGTACAAGGACCCTTTATGGAGTCTGTAATTAACGTTCTATAATTTGATGAGACGACAAGGGATTGGTCATGTGTCGTTTACATTCACGACTTTGTAGTGTTGTTGGTGGGGTTAATTAGGGTATGCAGATTCACGGGCAAGTTACAAGTCTTGGTGTGTTTACTTTTGATTTGTATGTGGGTAATACTTTGATTGACATATACGTTAGATGTGAGTTCTTGGATAGTACTCATAAAGTGGTCGATGAAATGACGTAAAGAAATGAAATCTCATGGATGTTGTTAATTGTGGCTTATGCGAGACATGGGAACATGGAAGAAGCAAGTGAGCTGTTCGAAGGACTGCCTACAAAATGGTCAAGGGATTTTCACAAAATGCCAAGCCAAGGGAGGCTTTGGACTACTTTGACAAAAGGCAAGAGGCTTAAGTCAAAACAGACGAGGGTAGCTAGTGTCATTTAAGCTGTGCTCAATTAGTGAATTAGGTGCAACGAAGTATGCCAAATGGGGTCGTGAAATTGTTGAAAAAGCTTCATCCTAAAACTTTCTTTTTATCTTTTTAATCGATTAATTATATTATAATATGAACTTAACTTGATCGTATAATATTACAAATCAGGAACCAAACATACAAAACCATATATCCCCAGCTGCATGCCTTGTGTATCACTCACACACCAAACCCACAAGGCAGATTATTGTATCTACTATATCGTGTATACATACATACATAAATACATGCATCATACATGATTAATTATACATGTAGACAATCAAACAATTACTGCTGACTCCCTGATAACTTCTCCTTTATTTGCTCCATCAGTCCCTTTTTCTCATGCCCTTCATCCTCCCCCTCATATCCAACGCCACCACCGGTTTCAACGGTGGTTGTGGTTGAAGCGTCCTGCTCATCTCCACCAGGCAGCTTCTCCTTGATCTTCTCAACCACACCTTTCTTCTTCCTTCGTCCTCCCTCACCATCATCCTCCGACTGCACAATCAAACACAACGTTAGTTATTGATTTTAAAGTCTTAGAAGATTTAAGATAACGTATACATTTCACTTACAGAGCTGGAATTGCCACTGCCGGAAAGGTGGAGGATTCCCCCGGCACCGGCGCCATTATGTTTCCCTTGTTCATGGACGTCACCATGAGCAGCTCCCGTTCCGATGGTGTTAATTTTTGTAGCTTCGGTATCTTCATCATGACCTACGGCTGTTGACTGCAGTGGGTTGTGGGCTTGCTGACCCTCCTCATGACCGTATTGCTCTCCTCCGTATTGTGCCATTACTTCCGGTGAAAAAGATTGTTATAAAGTACAAGTGATTATGCAGAACGTGCAAACAAACAGCTGATTATAGTGGGAAAGTCGATGGGATTTGAGATTGGATCACTCGGGATTATATAGTGTCATAGGGAGTACACGATTAGAGGAGTTAACGAGTATCTCGCACAAGTTTGGGTAACCAAGTGTTTTTGTTTTTAAGAAGGGCATCTTCAATGGATTAAACTCATGGAGAGTTGTATGGATTGCCAAGTAGGAAAGAGAATATACATATTCACTTTAATTCTTAAAAAATTCATAAATTTTCAATTACAATTTCATTGCACCGTTCAATGGTCATTCAACTCCACGCTCTCTCTCATCTATATTAAATTCACATTTATTCCATTAAACTCTCATACAACTTCCATTGTGGATGGCCTAAGGTGATATCGGCTTCAATCTCAGACATGTTATAACTGTCATTCTAAATAAAAAAAAGACAAAATTGCAACAATGGTCCCTGTGGTATGTCCAAAATTGCCACTTTGGGCCAGACAGGTTTTGACTAGCACAAATGGTCTAAAAGTTTCTATTTTGTTGCTAGTTTGGTCCATTCTGGTTTAAATTTTTATAAAATGACGATTTTACCCTTTATATTTTCTTTATTCATTTTTTATTACAAAAATAAAAGAACAAAAGAAAAAAGAAAAGAAAAAATACCCTTTCTCTCTCACTCACACACACACACACACTTTCTCTCTCTCTCTCTCTCTCTCTCTCTCTCTCGTTTCTTCCTCAAGAACACTCAAGATCATCTACCACCACCACTGTTCGATCACCGTCCGCCACCACCACCATCCACCACCACTCACAGATGAACAAACACACACGAAATCAGATGAACATACAAACACATGAAATCTGAAGAACACAAAAACAAATCAACACTAACATCCATCGATTTTTCAACAGATTCAACACAAACACACACACAAATTAAACATACACACACACACACACAAAACCCAAAAATCGATTCTCTCTCTCTCACAGATCTGAAACGCCATTTTTCTTCTTCTTCTTATTCTCCCTCTCTCACAAATCTGAGGTAGTGCTTGAAACCAGACCTGAAATGGTAGTGTTCGTCATAAATCCGCCGCTACTAGGGTTTTCAGATGCGGTGGTTGTTTAGGAGGGAGGACGGCATAAGCCATGACAGTTGAATCCCAACAGATCCTGAACTTTTTCGTTTGCTTCGTTGCTCAAAATTATTGCCTGAATTGCACCTTCATAAGCCGCCAGAAGTGTCCTAAAATCCTAGCAGGGGGTCGAAGGTGGTGACGGCTAGGGTTTGGACTTGTTCCCCTCGTTCCAGCCGCCACTGTCGCCTGTGCAAACCCTAACTTCGTCTCTCTCATTCTCCAACGACGACGCCTTCTAATCAGATCTTGAAGACGAAAACCCTAGTAACGGATGAGAATGGTGGTGACGCTAGGGTTTCGTAAAAGTAGCGTTTAAAACAGATCAGAGATGGTTGTGTGGGAATTAGGTCAGATTCAAAGGTTGTGTGGTCGTGGTCGCGGCAAGGAGAAACGTGATGGCTGGATGGAAGACAAATAGAAGTGAGTCTGGTTCGCCGAAGATGAAGAGGTCGACGGAGGTTGGTGACGACGGCGGTGATGGCAGATGGTGGTGGCAGTTAGGGTATTTTTTAGTGTGTGTTTTCCTGAGAGAGGTGAGAGGTGAGGAGATGAGAGGTTCCACCGGTAAGTGAGTGAGTGAGTGTGTGAGAGAGAGAAAGAGAGTGTGTGTGTATGTGTGAGAGAGAATTTTTTTTTCTTTTCTTTTTTCATTTATGTAATAAAAAAAATTAAAAAAAAAAATACAAAGGGCAAAATCGTCATTTAAAACCAAAATGGACCAAACTCGCAACAAAATGAAAACTTTTGGACCATTTGTGCTAGTCAAAACCTGTTTGGCCCAAAGTGGCAATTTTGGACATACCACAGGTATCATTTTTGCAATTTTGTCAAAAAAAATAATAAAAAAAAGTATCTTATTCTATGAATTTAAGTTATTTTTATTCTTATAATTCGACTAGTTTTAACCGACAGTTTCAATATTTCACTTTTATAATAGTTTTTTTCTTTTTTTATAAATTCATTTATTTTATTAGTTTTTTTTATAAATATACAAAAGTTTAAGTAACTAGGTTGGTTTTTTATTTTATATACAAAAATATATATATTATGTTATAGTAATAGTAAAGAAAACAAATACTATGTTATAGTTACGACAACATGAATAAAAAAGCTCTGTTCTAGTAAGTGAAATAAGATATGAAGTCGTGATAAGTTTTTGTTATTCTTAATTTGGTTCTAAATGGTGATGAATAACAGAGTAAAGTAGTAATTTTTTGTTTTCTTTGTTTTTCGTTTCTTTGTTTTATGTTGGTTCAAAAATTTATATTTATTTCTTATTTTTATTTGTGTAGTTGTCATCGTACTTTTTGATATGTTTGAGATCGAAAGAAGACAAAACGTATACGTTTTCTTCTTTTATTTGAGTACTATTTGGTACCATTGGAAAAAAAATGACAAAAGAAAACTAGCCTAACTTTATTTTATTTTAGATCAATATTTATTTTGTTATTTATCTTTAGCAATTATTTCTCGTTTTTTTTTTATTTTTTTTAATACATATGAATCAATATTTATTTATAATTTTTGTGTTAAATATACAATTCATAATTTATAGAATAAATGCGATTTTGTTGCAAATTTAGTCCATGTCGGATCTGAAATGACCATAATGTCCTTTGTGTATTTATTTTCCAATTAATATAAAGTTATTATTATTATTTTTAATTAAAAAAAAAAAGAAATATGCCCCTATCCAACCAACCTTTTTAAAACTCTTAACCTAATATCCCTTTCTCTCTATATCTCTTTCTTTTCTCTAGATACCATTACCAGAATTATACATTACCACCGCCAGATAGATATCTGAACCATCACCAGATTCACTTCCTCCAGCAAGTCGCCATCACCAACCAGCATCTCACATTTTTGTTTAAAACCCTAAAAACCCCACCTAGATCTTCGTCTTCGTCGCTATAAAAAGCTTCATTGCACACAAAAGCCTCACCTTATTTGGATCTGTCATGTAGGTCGTGACTGCCGCCTCTCCAAAGTAAGTACCGGAGCAAAGAAATAGAAAACCCACACACCTTGTGCGCCGCCATCTCCACCTGTTCGCATGAAACCCTAGTGTCGTCATCACCACATGTTCGCCTGAAAACCTTCACCTTCTGGATCGACTAAATCCAACAGGCTTAATGGTTTTGATGTGAACTCTCTATGCGGCAGAAGACCGAAAGGTTGGATGGCCTCCCCTTCTGTTGGTATTCTGGTGGTTTACTCAAGGTTTGGGACCTGGAAGGTGTTGACATCATAACAATAGAGGTTAGCAGGAACCTCATGATCACGTTTGGTAAATGGAAGTGCATCAAACATAGTATGGGGGTGATAAATTTTTATTCCCCCAAGAGGGCAACGACAAACTTGATCTCTGGAATTGCATCTCTAACAAGATTGCACGTGACAAACGAGGAATGTGGATTGTTTGTGGCGACTTTATCGAAGTCAGGTGTCCGGAGGAAAGAAGTGGGTAAGTTTGCTCTGCTATTGGCGCCCACAACTTCAACAACTTCATCGATAATGTTGGTCTAGTGGACTTGAATCTTGGAGGCCAAAGTTTCACCTGGATGAGACCTAATGGTGCTCAATTGTCACACCCCCGAACCGTCGGAACGGACGGCGGAAACGTCCGGGGGCGGGTGACGTCATTTGCAGTATCACAACAGTTGTATCATAGCAAGCGAAGTAAACACAACCATTACATTATAATATGAATATTTACATTGTTTGAAAACATAGTTTGTACATAACAGTGTATAACAAGAGTAAAAGACGTGACTCCAAAATGATCCGTCTTCTCCAAAAGTTGGCAAGAGTACCTATCTATTGTTGCCCTGAGAATACAAGCAGTTTTAAAAATATCAGCATAAAGCTGGTGAGTTCATAAGCGTTTAGTTCCGGTGAAAGAAATGTTTCTTTGATCCTTTGAAAAGTGTTTCCCAAGAAAATCCTATATTTTCTTATGAAAGATGTTTGATTATCCATTCGTTATTTGTTTAACAGCCTGTTTATGTAAGGTTGAGTTATCCCAGGAAAATCCTATATTTTCCTTAAAAGTTGACAGTTGGTTATCTGTTCTTGTCTGAGGTGTACAAGTATCTACCATACTTGTATCGTTAGATGTAGTTTCCTTGAAAAATCATGTTTGCTCTCTGTGAGGTGTATTAGCCTTATTACATAAATAAAACTAGTAAATAGGTGGTGAACTAAATCCTAAGGGTATTATTAATACCCTCTAGTAATCAAATCGGTTATTACTTTGAGGTTAGTTCACTTGTTTCATTATTACAAAAGTAAATTCTGTTATCTAGGTTGTGAGTGTCATAACCGTACTTAGACTTGATATGGCACGTAACGGGGCCAGTATCTTTTTATGACCTTGTCACCCCTGGACCTATCGGTCCAACAGTAGCTAGCAGTAAGGTGCGGGATAGTCGGTCCCGTATAGATCTATACACAACAATCACGCTCTCCCTGCAATAGATTCTGGTTACAAGTGCTAGTCCTACACTCTCGAATTCGGTGGGAGTGTTACCAAGGACGTGTCTCCAACTTTAGACTAACAATTTGCATGTAATAATACCGAAAATCCTGTTTATGAGTTGTATGAATCCTTTATAAAATATCACATTTTATGACAAGATTCACAAGTTCATTGCTTTAGTTTTGAAAACTGTTTCTACGAGTTGATTTCTTAATCGTTTGGTAAAACGGTTTTCTGTATTAAAAGCATACTGAACATATAATTATTTTATACAAAATAATATAACTTGAGCACAAGTTTCCTTGTACTTTTGCTTGTATTCCCCCCTGAATACATGAAAAACTCGAAAAAAGCATAGGGGTATGAACTCACTGTTTGACGTGGGATTCGAGTGGAAGTTGCTAGGAATTGCTGAGTGTCAAATAAAGCCTCGGGCACAAACGGATCCTATTTAGCATGTAAAAGTACATATATGCATTAGGTGAGGGCATAACACTAGTTGTTATGGAAGGAAATCATCCTAGGGACCAGGAAACACTTAAAACTAAGTGTTAGAATCGCATGTGATTTGAAAATGGGGAGTTTGCGGTCGTAAAAGGAGTGTACGGTCAAGGGTTTGCAGCCCCACAGGGTTTACGGCCCATATGTTTACGGCCCAAGTGTTTGCGGTCCATGGGTTTACGTCCGTAAACACTTGGTGAAAGGTGCGATTTTCGGTGTTTCAAGGTCCTTTCTATCCTTCTGGAAGTGTTCTAAGCCTCGTGCCTAGTTCAAGGAAGAGTTTAAAGGTCAATAATCGACCAAAAATGGAGTTTACGGCCATTGAAGGGTGTACGGCCGTAAACACTCAGTTCATGCGTTTCAGGTCGATTTTTAGGCGAAAATTGATGGTTTCTAGTAGATATCAAGTACAGATGGTAGTTACTTACTGTTAAGAAGCTTGGAATGAGGTTTTTAGCCACCAAGAACTAGTGTGTGTTCTTGGTGAGAGAGAAAATCTAGAAAATGATGAAATTTAGGAGATGAGACATGGATTCATCACTAGAATAAGGATAGAAACACAATCAAAGTGAAGAATTACTTACATTCTTGAGGATCCTTGAGCAAATTCGAAGTTTGTAGAGAGAGAGAGAGAGAGAGAGAGAGAAAGCTCCTGGAGTGTGTAAAGTGAGAAATGAAGGCCACTCATCCCTTATATAGGGGTGAGTTTACGGCCAAGGGGTGGGGTGGAGGGTTTACGGCCGTGAACAGGGTTTACAGTCGTAAACAGGGTTTACGGTCGTAAACTGAGTTTGCGGCCGTAAACTCCTCTCGAAGGGTTGTTTGGCACGGATGCTATGCTTTGACTTAGAAAACCTCGTTTTTGAATCCAAAACTCGATTGAACTGAGCTTAGAATATTCCGTTAGACCAAAAATAATACTAACGTGAACGGAAATAAATCCGAATTGATTTATTTAAAACGTGAAGTCCTTCCCAAACTAAGGAATTTGACGGAATTAAATAAAAACCCAAATTTTATTAACGGAAACTGGGTAAGGATAACGGAAAAAGTTTCGGGTTGTCACATCAATTCAGCCGGCCAGATAGGGTTTTAATCTCGTCCGACTGCCTTAAGTGGTGGCCTAATGTTTCTTCCCTTTCGCTTCCCCAGCTTCATTCTGACCATTGTCCTATCCTCCTTGACATTTGTGGTCTGGATTATGGCGCTTCCCCTTTCAGATTCTTCTCTTCGTGGTTGATTGATGACGTAATTGACGAGATTGTGAAAGAAAGTTGGGCTAAACAAAGAAAAATGTTGGATATCTACTCTAAGACTGAAAGACTGGCAAGGAAACTTAGATATCTTAAATACGACATCCGAATATGTCGGGGGGGGGGGGATTAAAAAACAAAAAATTAAGGAGATGGATTCCCTAAAAAAGAAGGTGGTTGAGATTGACATGGTGGCAGAGGTGCTTGGTATGGATAATCTGTTGCTCACAGAAAGGACCGATGCGGTGATGAAGTTACAAGAAATTGAAGTGGCAAGCATCCTAGATCTCAAACAAAAATCCAGGTGTAGATGGACACTAGAAGGACATGAGAATTCAGCATTTTTTCATGGGATGGTCAACTCCAATAATAAAATAAATCGAATTATGGGGCTTAATATTGATGGTGTATGGTGTTCTGACCCCCAAACTGTACAGAATGAATGCTTCAGGTTCTTCAATTCCAATTTTAAGGAATCGTTGCCAATTAGACCCAGCCTTAGAAGTGACAAGTTCATGTGCCTGAATGACTTAGATAGGAACTTCCTCGAATCACATTTCTCTCATGATAAGATCAAGTCTGCCGTGTGGAAATACGGACATGAAAAAGCCCCAGGCCCGGATGGCTTTAATTTTTGGTTTATTAAAAAGTATTGGAATATTTTAGGAGAGAAAGTTGTCGAGGTCATTCAATTTTTTAGCATACACAAGTCTCTTAAAGGGGGTTGTAATAGTTCTTTCATTACCCTTATCCCTAAAGCAAACAACCCGGTATGCCTCACTGATTACTGCCCGATAAACCTTACTGGTTGTATCACAAAAATCATTTCCAAAACGCTTGCGGAACGCCTAAAGGCTGTGATTGGGAAAGTCATAAGCAAGGAGCAAACTCCTTTCGTTAAGGGCAGAAACATTTTGGATGGTCCTCTCATTGTCAACGAGATCATCTCTTGGACCAAGAGGACAAATAGGAGAACGATGATGTTCAAAGTAGACTTTAAAAAGGCGTTTGATTCGCTGAATTGGAACTTTTATCGACAACATCACGATTCAAATGGGTTTCGGTTACACATGGAGGGATTTAATCCGGGCTCTTATCTCCTATGCAAAAGTCTCTATTCTCGTTAATGGGCACCTTTAAATGAATTCAGTATGGAGAGGGGCATCAGGCAAGGGACCCCCTATCCCCTCTCCCCATTCCTATTCATTATTGACGCATAAGGTCTTCGTGTGGCAGTGGATGAAGCTGTTGAAAAGGGATACTTTACCGGTATTGAGCCACTGGGTATTGGATCTATCCTGTCAATATTTCAATATGTGGATGAAGCCATCCTCTTAGGCGAATGGTCCATAAATAATGTGAAAAACCTCATACGCATTCTCTCTTGTTTTCACATATTGTCTAGGCTGAAGATAAACATAAAAAATGCAAGATCTTTGGAATTAGGGTGCCTCAAAGGGAAATCAACGATAGGCGATCTTCCTTTTACCTACCTTGGTATGCCGATTGGGGCTCGGATGAACAAGACTTCTAGCTGGCTACCCCTGGTTGACAAAGTCAACAACAAACTCTCGACTTGGAGGTCCAAAAGTATCTCAATGGGGGTCGGTTAAACCTATGCAAATCGGTGCTCAGATCCTTTGGTTCATATCTTCATTCTATTTTCAAAGTTTCAGATATGGTGATTTCGAATTTGGAAAGTATCAGGGGAGGTTTTTTTTAGGGAGGCTCTAACGAGACTAGGAAGATTGCTTGGATCTCTTGGAGTAAATCAATGAATGACATGGACAAAGGTGGCCTTAATATTGGTAGTTTAAAATCGCTCAACATTTCTCTCTTGGGAAAATGGTGGTGGCATTTCAAGGCTGGCCCGGATGGTCTTTGGAAAGAAGTAATTAAGTCACTCTATGGGCAAAATAGTGGTCTCGGGGAAAACATTCCAACCTATCGCAAGTCTAGTGTTTGGGGGCTATTAGCGGGCTGAGCAAGGATCTTCACAAAGTGGGGCTACAGATAGATAACTTGCTTTGGTATGGCAACTCAGTGGGTAAATGGAGGTGGTCGCTTAAAGACCAGGGGGAGTACTCAGTTTTCTCTCTTAGGAAGGCGATTGATGATTGTATTTTGGATAGTGCCCCCACGAACACTATATGGTACAAGGTTGTTCCCCGTAAAATTAGCCTATTTATTTGGTATCTTAGATTGTACAAGTTACCCACCATTGACAACCCGATGTAAATAGATGTGCTAATAAACTATGATTTGTGCCCGACATGCAACTGTGATCATGAATCGATCCCCCATCTATTTTTCCAATGCTCAACGGCTAAGGAATTGATGGTTACCTTGAGAAGACGGTGGTCAAAACTCCCAGATCTCCAATAGTGTGTTGGAATTGATGACCTTCTTAATCATGGTGCGGACCCAAGTTGGTCAAAATTTGACTCTTATAAATTTGATGCGGTCATCCGAGCTTTTCTCTGGGTTCTTTGGTGTAACAGGAATGATATATGCTTTAAATGTACGGTTAAAATCATTCCAATCCTTGCTTTTGAGGTTATTTACACCTCATTTCTTTGGTTCAATGTTAGAAGCAAACTTGGTAGGAACTTGGATAATGATCACTAGTTATAACAATTGTTTTGCCTGTTTTGTTTCACTAGCTTCTCGCTAGTGTTGGGAACGGAATTGAAATATATATATATATATATATATATATATATATATATATATATATATATATATATATAAAGAGAGAGAGAGAGAGAGAGAGAATCCAGATCAAATAAGAAATAATTTTTTTAAAAGAAGGTAATAAGTTTTTCATGTGCATATTTTTTTAGCGAACTAAAAAAATAAATTAAATGATAAATCAAAAGTAACATGATTCACAAGATTATTTTTCGAAAAAACACCTTCATTATTTATTTTGCAGTAAACCGAGCAAAAAATCACTTTACGAACAATTTTAGTGAAAAACAACAAAATCATCGAGACGATTTTTCGGGAATATTTTTTATGATTCTTGTTAATTTTTATTCATCTAATGATTAATTTTGTTGCTTCGCCAAAAAAATATGCAGATTAAAAACTTCTTACTTTTCTATCAAAAATCTTCTTTTCACCGGACTACACACACACACATATATATATATATATATATATATATATATATATATATATATATATATATATATATATAGGCTTAGGTTATTGTATTGTAACTAATTATTGTGTGAATGTAAGAATGATTGTGGGCCAATCATTTTACTTATTTTAAGAAAGTGATTAATACATATTATTAAATTAAAAATAATTAAAAAATACCATCTAATTTTCATTTTAAGGGTATTTTAGTCAATTAACATAAATTAAAAAAAAAATTACAAATTTTAAGGAATAATTAGTTCTCTAAACTTTTAGAATCTGATTTTTTTATAATAAATATATTAATTCGGACACTCTAAAAGAACGTGTTTATGATTATCTTGAAAAAAAATATTAAATTCTAACAGAATACTATAAACATATATTATCAAGATTAATAATTTTTAATGAATACAAAAAGAGAATTTTAATATCTTAAAATCAATAATTATATTCATTCTTAACAAATACAACTATGAACATACACAAATGACATTCATGCTGAAAGAATATAAATAATAATGGTTAACAATTATATTTATTCTTTAATAATAAAACTAAGAATGGTTAAAAATCAAATAAAAACATTGAAATCTAAGTAAAACACTAATACATTATGATAGCATATTCTTGCTAATCATTATGACAGAAAAATATTTAATCCATTCTGAACGAATATTGTTGCCTTACTTTCCATTCTTCAACGAATATTGTTGTATTACTTTCCATTCTTCACCACATGGTCAGAACCAAGTAACACAAATAACAAAGTCATAATTCTTTTTGTGTTCTTCAAGAATTTAACCATCAAATTCTTTTTTAGACATTTCCACCAATACCTGTCATGCAATATATATCGACAATATAAACATCATTTTTTTTTGTCAAATCATTTACAACATTAAAAGAATTTTAAATTTTAAGAAATTTAGAAAGTCCATTTCCAGATCTTGATCCGAAGATCAAGCTTACATTTGGCAGCAGAAACAGTAGCAGCTACTGATGAAGATGATGAATTTCTTGAATTCCCACTGACAGCCTTTGGAATTAAGCTATGAATTCCTTCGCATTTTATATGAATTCCTTCGCATTTTATATGAATCCCAATCTTTATGCTTCTTATGGACTCAATCTTGACTCGAACTTTAGTATCAAGCAGCAACTTTAATGGCAGCCCTGATTTCTTTTTTAGATCCGATCTCATTTGATTCACTGTTTCTGTTTCCAGAAGCAGGGAGTTGATAGAAAATGATGAGTGGATAATGGTGATGTTATTCGGCTTACTCATAAAGAAAAATGGTGTTAGAATTATACATAATGTTTTCGCAAGGAAGTAGAAAACATAGATAACAATGAGGTCGTGAACAACATAGCAAAAAGAACAGATTACAAATCGTTTGAAGCAATAGGCAGGGATCGGTTTTTTCAAATCATTTAATGAAAACAACGAATCAACAGAGACTCATTCCAGAATACTTTTACCATCAAATGGGTCTGACATTCGGCCACCTGCACCCATGTTGTTGATAGAAGATTAACCTAAAAATGTCAAAAGTTTTGTGAGATTTGTGTCTTTGCATCTCAGTTTAATACCTATTTTCAGAGCCATATACCTATATTGCCATCTATTCTTAGACTCGAAAATTGTTAGAGATTGATAATTCCAATCATGCATACACTCAAGATCCTCGAATCCAATTTCAAGATCATATACGGATTTCATTAACAGTAGAAGCATCCATATGAATATAATTAGCACCAAATACAGAAAGATAGGGGAAAAACGCAACTTAGATGTTAACAACGAATTAGCATGAAATGGACGAACCCTAATCGTACCTGAACGCATATTCGATCGAGAGGGGTTTTTAAACCCTTTCCGGTGAAGTTTAGTCCAACGATGTTGTAGGAGGAGACGAAAAAGATTGGTTTTCCAGTTAGCAAAATATCCGTTTGCGACTTGGGTTCCTTCGGATCAACACGTAATTGCGATTGAATCATAGTAAAATGTGATTTTCTTGTTTGGGTTTCTGGTAGAGATCGTATGTTCTCATGATGGTGAAGAAGGCAATCTTTAGTTGCGACCGAACGAGATTTAGGGTTAATGATATGAAACCGATTATTATTTAAAGGGAAATTAATTGATTTAAATTTACCAAAATTAATTAATAGCTAAGATTACAATTTTACCCATATCTAGGTTTTTGAAATGATTGGTCCACAATCATCCTTACATCCACACAATAATTAGTTAGAATATTTGAACCTCTATATATATATATATATATATATATATATATATATATATATATATATATATATATATATATATATATATATATATATATATGAAATCACGAAGACATGCATTTAACCAAAAATATTATTTGTTTTTTTCGAAAACAAAAGATAAAAAGTTTTGTGTGAACTTTGTTTTTTTATTATTTCTAATCATAATCTAGTGTTTTTTCCACTACCTATCTATGCTGCCACCACAACCATAACCTCTGCCATCTCCGCCACCATCACTCTTATGGGAAAAACGCAGCCACAACGGTAAACAACAATGCAGAATAATACTTCGTTTGACTAAACTATTCTCGTCTTGAATGAACCTTTTTAGGATGCAAACAAATATGATATTTTTTACTTGCAAAAAACAGCCCCAATGCAAGTTATATGATCAATATAATCAACCCAAAACTATAAGTAATCAACCAATAACGACACCGGAATTTTAGCGTGGAAACCTCTCAAGAAAGGAGAGTGAAACCACGGGACTACTAGAGCCGCTTCAAATCCACTATCACAAATATTAGAGCAATACAAAGTCTTCTCTAGATGTACTAGAGGCATACAATAATCATCATATACTTGGAACTAAATCACATCAAGCATATGGAATCAAATAAGCAAAGACAAAGAAGAATATCACCAAAAACGTTCCTGATTTCCAGCAGCAAACAAAAGCGATGATTCCCGAGTCTCTGGAGCTTATCTCGACAATTCAACCGTTGGATCTGAATGTCTCGATGTTAGGAAGCTGCTGTCCAAAAATTAAAAAAAACGGACCGTTGAATCTCCGGGAAATTACCAAACACTGCAGGTGTATCTTCAAAAACGGGAATAAAAAACCCTCTTTTGCTTCTTACTCTCTCTAACTCTCTTGGTGGCTGAAATTTTTTTTGTGTGTTAGTGAAATTAGGGCATGTAACACATATATATACATGGGCTAAATAAGTGGGCTTTCCTCATGGGCTAAAAAACCCAATAGAAAACCCAACAAATCTCCCCCTTTTTGGCCTATGAGGAAGAATTCGCCATCCCGACGATCGAGCAACATATCTTCAACTTCTCCCTTGCTAAAACTTTAGTCAATATATCAGAACCATTATCATCAGTATGAACTTTTTCAAGTTCAAACAATTTGTCTTCAAGAGCATCTCTAATCCAATGATACCTCACATCGATATGCTTTGTTCTTTTGTGAAACATAGAATTCTTAGCAAGGTGAATGACACTTTGATTATCACAAAGAACCAGATAGCGTTTTTGTATAAATCCAAGCTCTTGCATAAAACTTTTTAGCCACAGTAGCTCTTTGCATGCTTCTGTTGCTGCCATATACTCAGCCTCAGTGGTGGACAAGGCAACACACTTTTGCAGTCGTGACTGCCATGACACAGCCCCCCCCCCCCTGCAAAAGTCATCAAATATCCAGAAGTGGATTTCATGTTGTCCTTATTTCCTGCCATATCAGAATCTGTATAACCAAAAAGCATAGGTGCTCAATTTCCAAATGTTATACCCAATTTGGAAGTACCACGTAGATATCTAAAAATCCACTTAACTGCTTCCCAATGCTTCTTTCCCGAATTTGACAGAAATCGACTAACAACACCAACTGCATGGGCAATATCTGGCCTTGTACACACCATGGCATACATCAAACTCTCAATGGCTGATGCATATGGAACTCTATCCATCTCTTCAATCTCCTTCTTAGTAGAAGGGAAATCTCTATCAGTCAGCTTAAAGTTGGTAGTTAGAGGCGAACTAACCACTTTAGCTTTATCCATGTTGAATCTGCAAAGCACCTTCTCAATGTATTGCTCTTGTGACATATGCAACTTCTTTGAAGCTCTATCTCTACTAATCTGAATGCCAAGAATCTGTTTTGCCGGCCCCAAGTCTTTCATAGCAAAAGACTTGCTCAATTGTTTCTTCAGCTGAATAATTCTCTCTGCATTCTTGCCAACAATCAACATATCATCAACATAAAGCAATAAAATTATGAAATCATCATCACCAAACCTCTGGAAGAAAACACAGTGATCTGAAGTAGTCTTGTGGTAGCCTTGCTCACCCATGACTGACTCAAATTTCTTGTACCGCTGTTTTGGTGCTTGCTTCAACCCATAAAGACTTTTCTGAAGCCTACACACATAGACTTCTTTGCCTTTAACCTGAAAACCTTCAGGTTGCTCCATATAGATTTCCTTGTCCAAGTCACCATGAAGGAAAGCTGTCTTGACATCCATTTGCTCAACCTCAAGATCAAGGCTAGCAACCAAACCAAGAATCACCCGAATGGAACCCATCTTCACGACCGGAGATAAAATCTCATCAAAATCAATACCCTTTATTTGACTGAACCCTTTGACCACCAATCTAGCCTTGTACCTAGGCCGTGAGGTATGCTATTCAGTCTTCACTTTGTAGACCCACTTGTTCTTCAAAGCTCTCTTGCCTTTAGGCAACTTCACCAACTCAAAGGTATTGTTTTCATGCAAGGAATTCATCTAATCTTGCATAGCTTCAACCCACTCACTTTTATGATCATCTTCCATAGCTTCTGCATAACAACCAGGTTCTCCCCCATCGGCGACTAAAACATACTCATCAGCAGAATAATGGGTGGAAAGATGACGATCTCTCGTAGACCGCCTAAGTGGGACAAATGGTGGTATATCAGGTACCGGTAACTCTGGATGAAAATCCTCATCCAACTCCGACTGCTCTGGAACATCATTTTCATCAGTACCATGTTGTTCATCATTCTGAACATCTTCATTAATTGGCTCAAAATGTTGAGGGGGAACCATATCCAAATCAACATGATCATCATTAGATTGAGGAACTATCTTTGTCTTCTCAATATCTTTTAAACTCTGATCTTCAACAAATACAACATCACGACTCCTTACGAGTTTCTTCAGAACTGGATCATATAACCTGTAACCGAATTCATCTTGACCATAACCAAGGAATATACACGGCTTGGTCTTCACTTCAAGCTTTGATCTTTCATCTTTGGGAATATGCACAAAAGCCTTGCATCCAAAGACCCGTAAATGACGATACGAAACATCTTTTCCACTCCAAACCCTGTCAGGAACATCAAAAGACAAAGGAACACAAGGAGTAAGATTAATAACATGTACCGTTGTATTCAAAGCTTCTCCCCAAAAAGAATCAGGTAATCCTGCATGTGAAAGCAAACATCTAACTCTTTCACCCAATGTTCTATTCATCCGTTCTGCTAAACCGTTCAACTGTGGTGTCTTTGGAGGAGTCTTTTGGTGCCGAATACCTTGCTCTCTACAATAAGCATCAAAAGGACCAATGTATTCACCGCCATTATCTGTCCGAACACACTTCAATTTCTTCCCAGTTTGTCTCTCAACCAAGGCATGAAACTGCTTAAACACATCCAATACTTGATCTTTCGTCTTCAAAGTATAAACCCATACCTTCCTCGAATAGTCATCGATGAATGTGACAAAATACAAGCAACCCCTAAGTGTCCTAGTCTTCATGGGACCACATACATCGGAATGTACCAGATCAAGTATATTCTCTTTCCTGGAAGGAGGATGGCTCTTAAAGGAAACTCTATTTTGCTTACTTGCCAGACAATGAGAACATCTCTTCAAATTCACATCATGCACACCGGTCAACACATTTTTCTTCAACAACAAAGACATTCCCTTTTCACTCATGTGACCAAGTCTCTTATGCCACAAATCGGTCATGTCACAATGTATCGATGCATGGATCGATTCTTTGGAGATCTTCGGATGTGTCATGTATAACTTTGAGCTTCTTTCACCTCTTGCGACGATCAAAGAACCACGAGTGAGTTTCCAAATGCCACCACCAAAGGTACTATGGTAACCTTCATCATCAAGTAAGCCATCAGAGATCAAACTAAGTCTAATATCTGGAACATGTTTTACATTGTGTAAAACCAACTCCATCCCAGTCTCAAACTTTAAACAAATATCTCCGACACCAACAATCTTTGATAACCCATTATTACCCATTTTAACATTCCCAAAATCACCAGGAGTGTAAGATGTGTAAAAATCCCTTTGTGATGTCACATGATAAGTAGCACCACTGTCAACAACCCAACTCGAATCATCATGTGCAAGATTAACCATATCATAGTCACAACAAATAAAGAACTCTTCGGTAGTAGTGTTAACTTCAGCAGTATCATTACCACCATCATCTTTCTTGTGGTTGTTCTTTTGATTGTTGTAATTTGCCTTCTTGTTCTCCCTTTTCAACTGTCTGCAGAATCGTATTGTGTGCCCTTTTCTACCACAATGATTGCACTCATAGTCAGCAAACTTTCCTTTAGATTTACTGCGATGCTTCCCTTTGTTATTCAGACCTCTACTTTGACTTCTCCCCCTGCAATCTGTGACCAAGACATCTGAATGTGAAGAGGAACCTTGTGACTTTCTTCTCATCTCTTCATTTAAAACACTGCCTTTAGCTAATTCCATGGTGACAATACCATCTGGTGCAGAGTTGGACAAGGATGTCCTAAAAATTTCCCAAGAATCCGGTAAAGTGCCAAGGAGCCATAAACCATGTAGCTCATCTTCAAACTTGATACCCATTCCTGCAAGCTGATTAATAATTCCTTGGAAAGAATTCAAATGATCACTAATAGGATTTCCATCATGGTACTTCAAGCCAATCAACTGTTTAATCAAGAACAATTTATTGTTCCCGGTCTTCCGAGCATACAACTGCTCAAGCTTGTTCCACAAAGTGCGAGCATGAATCTCCGCGCTAATATGGTTCAAAACATTATCATCAACCCATTGCCGAATATACCCACAAACATTTCTATGCAAAATATTCCACTCTGCATCTGTTTTATCTTCAGGTTTTTCAGTATTAAACACAGGCATATAATAATCCTTCACATAAAGAAGGTCTTCCATCTTGCCTCTCCAAACTTGATAATTAGAACCATTCAAATTCACAATCCTATTTGTATTAGCTTCCATTCTTCAAACAAGTAACCTAATAACAAGAACCAGGCTCTGATACCAATCTTATGGGAAAAACGCAGCCACAACGGTAAACAACAATGCGGAATAATACTTTGTTTGACTAAACTATTCCCGTCTTAAATGAACCTTTTTAGGATGCAAACAAATAGGGTATTTTTTACTTGCAACAAAACAGCCCCAATGCAAGTTATATGATCAATATAATCAACCCAAAACTATAAGTAATCAACCAATAACGACACCAGAATTTTAGCGTGGAAACCTCTCAAGAAAGGAGAGTAAAACCACGGGACTACCAGGACCGCTTCAAATCCACTATCACAAATATTAGAGCAATACAAAGTTTTCTCTAGATGTACTAGAGGCATACAATAATCATCATATACTTGGAACTAAATCACATCAAGCATATGGAATCAAATAAGCAAAGACAAAGAAGAATATCACCAAAAACGTTTCTGATTTCCAGCAGCAAACAAAAGCGATGATTCCCGAGTCTCTGGAGCTTATCTCGACAATTCAACCGTTGGATCTGAAGGTCTCGATGTTAGGAAGCTGCTGTCCAAAAATAAAAAAAAACGGACCGTTGGATCTCCGGGAAATTACCAAACACTGCAGGTGTATCTTCAAAAACGGGAATAAAAAATCCTCTTTTGCTTCTTACTCTCTCTAACTCTCTTGGTGACTGAATTTTTTTTATGTGTTAGTGAAATTAGGGCATGTAACACATATATATACATGGGCTAAATAAATGGGCTTTCCTCATAGGCTAAAAAAACCCAATAGAAAACCCAACACACGTCTACCACCACCATTATCACCACAACCACCACAATCGTCACCGTCTTTTACTATCATCAAGAAATCGATGCGGTTAATAAACTATATCATTAATTTATACAATGTGTAAATACTAATAAAACAATTTTTTTTTTTAAATTATAGAAAACAAATATTTATTTTTGAGGATTATAGACTTTTAGTCCTTCTGGATATAGAAAAAGGATCATACTTCTTAAAGAAAAAAAGCACCTCACTATCTTCATTACCTAAAAAACTTTTCGTTTTTGTATCTTCTTAGCCAACTTTATTATCTAAAGACACCCATCTCAATTCTCACCAATTCCTTGAACACCATTCAATAAAAAGTTAAAAAACAAAAAAGGAACTTCACTTCATCGTATAACACAAATCAGAAATCAAACATACAAAAACATATCCCAAGCATCGCCTTGTGAATAACTCACGCACCCACCGTCCACCCACAAGGCAGATTATTGTACGACATACATACTTACATACAGACATACAAATACTTACATACAGACATACAAACATACACGCGTCATACATTTTATAACAATTACTGGTGACTCCCTGGTAACTTCTCCTTTATTTTGTCCATCAGTCCCTTCTTCTCATGCCCTTCCTCTCCCTGATATCCAACGCCGCCGCCGGTGCCAACAGTGTTAGTGGTTGAAGTCTTCTGCTCATCTCCACCAGGAAGCTTCTCCTTGATCTTCTCAAGCACACCTTTCTTCTTCCTTCGTCCTCCCTCACCATCATCCTCCGACTGCACAATCAAAACCCAACCTTAGTTATTAATCTTTAAAGTCTTAGAAGATTAATGATAACATATATATTTCACTTACAGAGCTGGAACTGCCACTGCCAGAACGGTGGAGGACGCCTCCGGCACCGGCATCATCATGTTTCCCTTGTTCATGGGCGTGACCATGAGCAGCTCCCGTTCCGATGCTGTTGATTTTTGTAGCATCGATATTGTCATGACCAACGGCTGTCGATGGGTTGTGGGCATGCTCGTCGGTGTGGTGACCCTCCTTATGGCCGTACTGTTCTCCTCCGTATTGTGCCATTTCTTCCGGTGAAAAAGATTGTTAGAAAGTACAACTGATGATTCAAAACGTTCAAGCAAACAGTTGATTATTGTGGGAAAGTTGATGGGAATGGAGATGGATTTAAGTGGCTTTATATAGAGAATAGTCGAATAGATTGGTTAGTAAATTATGGTGTACGTGGAGGATTGACGATGCATGGAAGGGCCGACCACGAAGATATATATGATTGACTAAAACTCAAAATAGAATATATATATATATATATATATATATATATATATATATATATATATATATATATATATATATATATATATATATATATATATATATACTTTTTATTTATTAAGAAATTAATAATAAATAACTATTTATTATTTCTCTTTTAACGGAACCACTTTTATTTAATCGAGTTAGTTAAGTAAGTATCACGGAAGAATTCTACTTGGATTATGGTTTATATTTTTAATGATTGATGGTTAACCACAAAATCGAAGTTTTTCGATAAGTAGACTATCAAATTTTTATTTCTTTAGACATATAGATTATGAAATATCAATTATATACAGACAAAACTGAGGTTTAGTCTAAATCTCGATTTTTTGGTTTCAAGGTCATTTTGAACTAGTTTCGTTGTATTTTTAGTCCCTCCAAATATTGAAATGACTGTAATACCCATAGGGTATTTATTTTCCATTTTTCTTTCATTTTTTTAAATCAAAAACTTATTTATTTATTTTAACATTAAAAAATAGGAGGGTCTCTCTCTCTCTCTCTCTCTCTCTCTTGCATACACACTCACTGATGAACATGCTTCAACACATATTGATGATGAACATATAAACCGACACCAATAGACCATCGATTTAATAAAAAAATCCTTATTCTCAGTTCACTCAAAAACTACCAATACCTTGAGTAATTGTGATAGAGAAGACAAAATCACGACTGAACCTTTTTCAACACATACATACACTGATTATGATTTAGGGAAAAACAATTCATATATGAACCCAAACCAACACATTCTGCTATTCACCAAATTAGAAGATAAAATCATGTCTAACGCACACCAACAAAACATATATGAAGCCAAATCAACACACCTAGCAATCAATGAGAATGTTTTCATGGATGATAACAAAGGGGGAGAAGATTAAACCTATGGATGGACATGGGAGATGATGGGCACACAAAATCAGTGGTAAAATAAGCAATTGATCAACATAGAAATCAATCCACAAAAGAATCTTGAAATCGTCAGCTCCGCCCCTACCCCGCTTCATCTCCCTCGTCTCACTCCTCTCCCTTACAATTGACCACCGTAACCCATCTCATCCGACAAACCGACCTCACCAGCCACTATCGGCACCTTATGCTATGGAAACTGTAACATCCCGAAATTCAGGTACATCTCTTATACCCTTCTTCTTTTCGAAGTTGTCAAGTTTGGCCCTTAAAGGAAACATTAAGGCAAATGAGTACGCTGGGCGTACTAAAGAGTACGCTGCGCGTACTCATGCGCTTAAGTTGGACGCGGACTCGCCTAGGTACGCTGGGCGTACCCGAGGTTACGCCGGGCGTAACCGGCCCAGATGCAAACCCTAAATTGTGGCTTGTGCACTATAAAAGGAATGTTAAGGCCTTATCCTCAGCCACTATTTCAGAGAGTGAAACCCTAATAGAGAGATACCCTTCGTTCCTAGCTTGTGTGTGTGTTCTAAGCTTCAAAGTGCCATTTCAAGGTGGTGAAAGAGAAGAGGAGGCCATTTTAGGAGCTAGAAGTTGGTGGACAAGAGTAGATCTGAGTTCTTCAGAGGTTGGAGCTTCTATATGGAGGTAAAAAGCTCAAAGCTTTCCTTGTCATTGGTGATTTGTGCTTCTTGGACCAATTTTTAGGGTTTTTGGTCCCAAGGTGGAGACTTTATGAGCAAATGGTCTCCATAAGCCTAGATCTGCCATATTTCAGAGTAAAATGAGTTGTAGGTTCATAAAAATCCAATCTTGGACGTGAATATTGAGCCATGCATGAGATCTAGACTTTATGAGAAAGAAGGAAAGGTGTTAAAGTGATTAGGGACCTTTACAGCCATGCAAAGGCTTAAAGGTCTCGACTTTATGGATTAAGTGGTCTTAGAGAAGTCAGATCTGGAGTTTGAGTTTATGTCTTAACCGATTTAGACCAAAATCCATGAATGCATGAAACTGAGACTTACGCTGGGCGTAAATCTCAGTACGCGCAACCTAAGGGTCTGAGACCCCGATTCTGGATCGCCGGAGTACGCCCAACGTACAAGAGCTGGTACGCGCCGCGTACTGCCCCTGTTGACTTTCGTTGACTTTTAGGGTTTTGGTCAACATTTGGTCTTTTGGGTCAGGGAGGGGTAAAATGGTCTTTTACCCTTCTGTGGGATTGTAGGAAGGGATGTAATCTAGTCTTTGAGAGCCTTTATTTATTCGAGAGTACTGTTTATGTGTTTAGGCGGGGACTAGATCAGTGTTTTCGTGTGCAAGATTATCCGAGATACCCGAGGTGAGTCTTCTCACTATACATTACCTAGAGTGGTATTTATGTGTAGACCAGAGGGTCTTGTATGTTATGTGTATATATGAGATTATGTGCATTGTGTTATATGTATGCTATGTGTTGAACAGACCGGGCCGGAGGGCCCAACGATATAGACCGGACCGAAGGGTCCACGACACAGACTGGACCGAAGGGTCCGACGAGCTATGACCGGACCAGAGGGTCCAACGAGCTACGGGACTGGAGGGCCCCGCTGAGACACATCGACCGGAGGGTCGTACTGTAGCCTCGAGTGGCGTATGTGTTGTATATGGTATTTTGGGGAACTCATTAAGCATTTATGCTTACCGTGTTGTGTGTTATGTGTTTCAGGTACCAGTGAGGATCGCGGGAAGGCGCCGGCATGATCAGTACACACTCATAGAGATTATGTTGAGATTATGGGAATTGTTTTGTGATGATGACATTGGATACATTATGTTTTGATATTGTTTTAGGATTAAAAGTATGATTTAAAAATGAAAAATTGTTTTGGAAATTTACGTTGTTACAAGTTCGTATCAGAGCCTTGGTTTGAGGGATTCGGATGCACCTTCGGGTGTATTTGA